CCTTTTCTCTCACTGCCAACTAATCGATATCTCACCAACTCCAATGCGATATTGATTTAGGCAGGATTGCACTTGAAGGATTTCTGGAAATCCCTCATTATTTCGTTGCTTTAAGTGCAAGACAATATTGTTTCATATACAGTCGACCTCCTTCGATTTATTGTGGTCGCTTAAAATAAAACTATGCACGTATTTTTTGCTTATGGATGACAATAAACTTCTGCAGTTGTTGTTAGAACCAATAAAATGGTTTATAAGGAGAATGTGTCTATTTTTCTCCCCCTCCAGACCGGACAATGAGCCACTTTCCGATGAAAATTCCACTTTTTTTCATACAAACTCTAAGTAAACTTTGAAAGGAGTATAAATAAAATTCCATAAACACTCCATATATATCTTATTTTCGTTTAATATTATCTTATGCATAGTCTTAACAACAAACAATTTATTTTTCGATTGATATCTTTATTGTATAATTGCTGTTTTTTTGTTATATCCATTTAGATATTGTTCAGCGTCCTTTGTGACAACAGATTATTCAGGAGGTTATGAAATCATTAAATGTATCTTGTTTTATTTCGTTTTAATGAAATGAATTTTGTTTGTTTCCTGCTAAGATGGAGAACAGTTCATTTCAATACCATTTCACATAGTACATTTAGATTTTAAAATATGGCATAAACTGTCTGATGTAGATTTTATAATACTACATAATTTATTATAATGATTTAGAGCAGTGTGTTAGGTCAGTATCATTAAAAATATAAGTTAAAATATCATCTTATGTATATATTCAGAAAAAAGTTCCTCTGCATTTTATTTTTCACTATCAATTATTGATCCTCTGTTGGAACGACTTGTTTAAATCGATAATAAAAATATAAAAATGCCTTTCCGTCAACTCTTTGGAAAATAAAGAATATATAATTTAAATAGACGTGGGGGTAAATTAGAGTCTGAGATCTGTGAGCAGTAAATTGACTCTCCCTTCAGCTTTTTCTGTGAATATTATGAAGAAATGCTGGGAGAAAG